CAGAGGAGAGAGAAATAATAGAAACCACAAAATAATTGATTAAAATGGAAAGTGGCAAAGTTTTTGGGGACGTCCCAAAAAGGAAAGATGACAAAGTTTTAAGGGACGGAGGGAGTATGTCTTGCTATCTAACTGTGTCTTTAGGATTGAGGTCATCTGCCTTATGACAGAGTACCTTACCAAAATACAAGGCAATGATTAAAAATAGGGAAAATTTGAAATTAATAATCCCAACTATTACTGATCCGCTATTAATCTCAACTATCGATTATTCCTGGGTGGTCCCAACTATATGGAGCATTTTCCAAAAATAGCCCCTAACCTGCTACAACCTGGTATAGCATGTCAAATTTAAATGTGAACTATGCGTAAGCTCTAAATAATCCCAACTATAATTGATCTTCTTTTATTGATTCCAATTATCAACTCTCAATTTTGGAAAAATATAAAAAAAATTATAAATTTTCGAATTAAATATTTTTAAACATGTAAAAATTATTATGAAAATTATACAAATGCACTGAAGTTAAATAAAATAGTTTTAGTCATTTTTTATTTATTTTCGCTATTTTTTTTTTGTTTTTTCCAATTTATTATTCCCAGTTGTGTTAACAAGTTATGATTTAGTATTATTTTCCTTTATTCAATTTTACAATTTATGTTTTCAAAAAGTAAGATGTTACTAAATTTTTTACGATTGAAAGCTTTATTTTAGTTTTTTCATAAAAATATATTTTATTTAAATTTTATGCTATGTTATTTCTAAAAATCTAAATTCTCTATTTTATCCATTTTAGTATTTGTAATCTCTTATATTTTTTATATTATTATATGAAATAGTTTAGTGTTCAATTTTTGTGATTTGGGGCATAGGTTTTGGAGGTTTTGGCTATTTTTAATGAAAATGTATTAATATTGTAATTTTAAATGATATAATGGAAATTGTAAAATATGTACAAAAAGTGTATTGCTTAAAATTAAAATATTAATACATTTTCATTAACATAGCCAAAACCTCCAAATCATATGTCCCGAATCACTAGAAGTCAATGATAAACTATATCATATAATTTATAGAATATAATAACATAAAATAAAGAAAATAGAAAGAAATAAAAAATACTAAAATTTTAAAAATAAAGAATTTTTATTTTTACAATTAAGATAGCATAACAATTTAATAAAATTGATTTTCATGAAAAAATCTAAAATAAAGATTTAAATCGTAATTTTTTTAATCACAATATACTTTTTAAAAACACAAAATTAGAAGGCCTGACACTTGGAGAATCTTCAGAAATCTATCCAAGCCGGTGAAACCAACGAAAGATTCCTTCAACGGCTAGAAGATTTCAACGGAAAAGCTATAGTACGCGCATTTAATGATCTTTTAATGAGCACCTTACGCTGTAGAGTAAAAGCTGATGATTGGCCGACATTCCAGGATAACATTATCCCAAAATAGCAACTCGCCAACTTTCCCGGGTCCTACCGGTCAACTCAACCGTACGTGCATTTAATGCAGTTGTCCTCCTCCTCCAACGGGAAGACAACCCTAGTATATATGATACTACACGAAGAACATCCGGATAACTTTCGCTCCAACAACAAACATTCAAACTCACAAGCTTTCTTGAGACTTCAACTTCATCTTCTCAAACAAGAAAAGCTTACGTTGGAAAGATACTATTTCTATATCCTTTCTTCCAACAAAGAGCAAAGTTCCTAAGTTTTTCAACAACTTCAAACTCTTCATCTACACATCCATTGTGACGAAGCAAGTTGGAGAACCCATGTTTTACAAAGAAATCTTCTTTCACTAGAAGAACGTCCAAGTAACTGGAGTAGTGAAGTGGGTATACTTCAAGGAAGCCCAGTGAAAGGACCAGTCTTAAAGGAAGCCAGGAAGAGCATCCCAGGGGACATCCGCACTTGAAGAAGACGTGGAGAGCTTCTTAAGTGCTAGGACTAAGGCGTTGTAATCTGCGTTTTTACAAGCTTAGTGGAACAGTGGATTAGAGGAACACGTTGTTCCTTGAACCACTATAAAAATCCCTGGTGTCATTTACTTACTGCTTTTAATTCTCGCATTTACTTTAAACTGATTAACTCCAAAGACTTGGTCTATGTGTTCAGCAGAACGTGTCTTGTGAGTTAACAGAAGACCTATTGGCTTTGCATATCTTAGAGGCTGACCGGACAGAACCCCTACCAGAATTCCATCCGCTGTCAGTCTGTTCTGCCAACAGAACAAGCTATTCTGTAAAAACAATTTCTTAACTTGAAAAAGTTAAAAGCCGATACAGTCTATTTACCCCCCTCTAGACTGTATCCAGTATAACCGGGACCAACATTGTTCATTGGAGTGAGTTAATAATCAAGAGTGGTAACAAAATAGAATAGTTTATACCTCCCAACGCAATTCTATTCATCAGTCAGTATGATCATTTTGTCACAATTCATGAATGTATTATTCAACAGGTTACTTGTGCAAAATTTGAAGAAATCAAATCAAAGTCAATCACGGGAACTCGCAAAAATGGTGTATATGAGGGTTCTACAACATGGACCCTTCATGAGGGTTCTAGCTAAAGCATGGCCCCCTACCTCACTAACCCCCCTGATGAAACCATTCCCCCCAACCCTAACTGACTACCTACCCTAACCCTATTATGAAGTGTGTGTAAATGTAGTAGTGATAATAGGGTTATGATAGGTAGTCAGTTGGGATATGGCCTACCCCACCCTACTACCCACTCTAACCCCTATCACCATCTTGTGATAACAGAATTCAAACACATGAACTACTTGATAAAGAATGAAACACGTGATCCTATCTGAAAACATACCTAATCACAAGTACTTTTTTTGTACTTTTCCCTTTAGTTAAACTCAAACTCTCTAGGACGTTGATTTGGAACAATACCTTTACCCAGAAAATATTTATAAATGGACTACATAATCTGGTGGGTCAGTGCGTGTGAAAGCATAACTTTGTGGCCATGGCGCCGTTTTCTACCGGTTGCTGGGCATCTTGATTGGAGGGGTCTCGGCCCCTACAAGAAAACCTTTTTTAAGTATAGAAAACCTTTTAAGGATCGGCTCCTAACCATGGATTTCTGGGCGACAGTTAAGAGCATCTTTAATGGGGATATGGATTGTACCCCAAAATAAATGGACACATCATCAATGTAGACGGGCATGAAGTTGACATGGACACACACCCATTTAAAATTAAAAATACGTCTCCAATGATAAAGTGGTTTTGTGTAAATATCTTTAATGTATTCTCTAAATAAAAACATTTTGTTTGCCCCGCATTATCGTCGTTTTTCTTTCTTCTCCAAAGTGACAACGAAATTGGGGGTACATCTATAAGAATATACTCCTCCTTGCTTCTTGTATACTATATGGAAAATTGTTGATAGAGTATATATTCTAGAGAGAAGTGAGAGCTAGAGAGAGAAGTGCAATAAATGTTTGCTATTAATGATTTGTGATCCCCCTACAACTACTCTCAAGGGAGTATTTATAGAGGAAATTAGGACTGGGCTTCCAAGTCTTAGGTTTGAGAGGCCCATTTACAATTGGGCCACTACTGGGCCGAGTACAAAGAATGTAAAAATAGCTAAGTATGAAATCTGGTTCTGTGAGTTCTTCGTGGCCGACGAGGGTCTGACCGACGGAGCCATGGCCGATGGTGACACCCGGTTCTCCTGTCTTCTGGATCATAAGCTGAGTCGATATCTTTCTGGCCGATGGAGGGCCATCTGGCCGACAGAGGCCCCACTGGGTGACAACTGTGCCTCTTATCCTTCTAAGTATGTGGGTCCTGGGGTCCAGGCCCATATACTCCATCAATTGTATTCAACAGGAACTCTAGCGAACACAAGGAATTCCGAGCCAGATCCACCCGACTGACGATGACGACGCCTCACATTCGGTGCCGGTGGACCGCGGGGTGGACCAAGCTTGGTGGCAACGACGAGGCCTCACATCCTATTTTCAAGGTCGGTGTCGGTGGACAATGGGCTGCGACCCGATTCCAGAGGTTGCGAGCACGTGAGTTTAATTCCTTCTACACGGGTTTGCTCTCTGGTTGTGTGGAATTGAAGTTTGATGCAAATGATTCCTTGATTGCTACCACTTTACAGAAGATGCCAATAAGATAACTGAATTGAATTTTAATTCGGAAGATGCAAAACTCCAAATGTGCTCTTGGAGCTTTATTTTGTCAAATTAAATAAGTTGAATTTTGCCGGAAATTTTCACATTTCCGTCATTTTTTTTTGTTTTTTAATTGAAAAGAACTTTTGTTGTTGATTCATCATGTCTATCACGCCTTCTACAATCAGAAAGAAGAGTGGACATTGTGGACGATTATTTAGTCCAACTCAATGCAACCTAAAATGTAGACACTTCCATTGGAGAGTAAATTTTAACCGGACTATCTATTTTGCTCACGTGGCGATGTATTGTCTAGCAATCCATATTACCATTACGGATGCTCTAAGCTGTTGATAGAGAAGGAGGGGTTGTGGTCTTTGACGAAAGAATTTGATACCATATACAATTAGGTAACGTGGAAGCTTTTTCTGTATATTATTGATACCAGATAGTATTATATGGATGGAGAAGACATGAACTGGTGGGCGTAGCTCAACTGGTAGCAAGAGTGTTGCAGGTTAGTTCCCGGGTTCGAATCTCATCAACTGCGATGAGAGGTTACTATACTAAAAATGCATAGTATCTCTGAAAGTATCGGTGACAGAGCTCCACTCTCTATCTACGTCCGATTCGGAGATGGGGTGTCATCTTTTTTGGAAGGAGAAACATGAGCTTCTTGCGCCAAAGTTTTTGCTTTGCCTCACGTACTCGGGTCTTCAAAGTCTAGCCGCCTAGGTTGAAGTCGTAATTCAATGCTCCATATATTTATTCTGGGTCGTATAAAACTATAAACCGATGTAAAGTGGTTTACCACCCTCCCTGGTAAAAGTGTTGTACAGTGTTGATCGTTAAAACAAACCGCGTAAAGTGTTTACGTCCCTTGTTGAATACCTCTTTCCGTCAAAGATGATTTTTGCTCTCCTTTCTCAAACCGTACGAAGGAATTCTATTCCATTTGAGAACAAACTTATTCTCCACTCCAGGTAGATCTTTGCTCTCCTTCGATTATTGTCTGTTTTATTTCGAGTTTTGTTTTCCGCCGTGAAGAATTTCTCCGATGATAACTATGAGTCTATGATGACAACAAGTGGCTACTCGGCTGTTCCATCTCCATGCGAGATCATCGACTCATCGTATAGTTTTTTGATTTCTTCAAATGTCTTTTCAACGCCAACTGCTCGAAGAAATGTCTCAAAGCTTTATTTTATTTATTTATTTCAAAGCAGTTGATATTATGAGATCAACTAAAGGAATTTTTGTGTATGTTTGGAAGCTAGGTGATTGCTTATTACTACAACAAGTACATAAAAATTCATATTTTATATGACAATACACTTATGCTTCATCTACATATTATGTTCTCTATTTTATATGGCAATAAACTTATGCTTCATCAACTCAAGGAATTATTGTGTATGTTTTATGTTTGGAAGCTAGGTGATCAAATCACGTACTTCCAAAACACATTATGTTCTCCACCTCAACCCAAAGGCTTCTCTAGTTGTCAATTTCAATTGACTTTGAATTTAGATAAAGAGTAGAGATGAATGACTTCTGAAAGATGGTACATATGTTTTTTGGGGGAAGGGTTGAACTTCATAATTGTGGAGCCTGGATATGCATTCTTTGATGTTAATTTTTAATCTGTTGCTGTTTAGAAAAATGGATAATCATGTTGATGGAGGGGACACCGTTAAACTCATGTATATTTTCCAAGATAGAAGCATGGGATTAGAAAGAGAAGCGAAGTGCAAGGGCCTGAATAACCAGTTTAATGTGATATAGGAGAGAGTGAGTTTAATTGGAGATTGAGAAGAGTAGCTAATCATAGTAATACTTGGAAAAAATAGATCACTATGGTAAAAAACTAACTGTGAGATTAAATGGTCTGGGGATCTCTATCATACCCAAGGCCCTGAGCCTATCTGTGGCCTGAAAACATCTTCTTGATTTATTCTGCATAGAACATTGCTCCAAATAAGAGCAAACACGAGTCATATAGCACAGATAGAAGTATCCCTTGTGATATTTTTGTTCAAGATAGATAATCTGAGAAAATATTTTACATTTTTATACTCCGAGAAAATATATCTTAATTAAATGAGCTCTTTAAATGGATGGGATTGAATTGCTCCATTGAAACCATTGCAATTAGTACTTACTTTATTCCTGTTGCCTTGATTTCAAGTGATTTCCAGTTTGATGTTTGTATTCAGCCTTTAATATCGTCAGCATCCATTTGTCTTAGTAATTTTATTTTCTACAACTAATGCTATGTATTTAAATGTGCTTTTAGGCTTGTTGAAAAAAGAATATTATTTAATAATTTGTGAACAATTATTAAAGAAATCATTGACCCAATTAAACAGTACATTTCATTGTTATTATTTTATTTTTTCCTGTATTAAAAAGTAAAAGAAAACAATGAGGAATGATTTTAGTAAAGTACCTTTAATAAAGCACTTTTTGGAAACATATTCAAACAGATGTTAAATGGGCACCTTCTTCAAATACGCTTTAATACGCGCACATTTCTATTAATGTTGCTATTTATTTAGTTGTACACTGCATAGTATTTAGTTTCTTAGTTTAGTGATGGGAACTACAGGCGGAGTGGAGAATGACTATCAGCCGATGATTGAAGTCCCATTTGATCTCTTTGTCACAAAGAAACAGAATGTCTTTGACGTGGACGGCAGATTCCAATTCACTGATTTGTTTGGGAATTTGCTCTTCGAGGTTGAAGGCCTATCAGCTGATTCTTCATCTCATCCAAATGGCCGGAAGTTTCTTATTGACGCTGCTGGAGATACGCTTATTACTGTGGTCCAAGCAATTGTGAGTCTTTTCTCTCCCGTACCAATAAATTTCTTCGTCTTCAGGATATTCGGGATCACTCTATTTTACTTTACACTCAATTTGTCCATCAACTTTCTGTTGGATTCAATTTGATCCACAACTTTGCAATTTATACTCAATTTGGAACCTGCAACATACATTGTTCTAATAATGAAGAGTGTTTGCGGCCACTAGGACTTAAATCCGGCCCAGATTAAATAGATCAGAAGCAAATTCATTCCCAAATTGGGTCTAGATTTAGTGAATCGGCAAAAATACTCTACTTAGTTTGAACTAAAAATGTATGAGAACTAGACTGGTCTGAATTGCATAGCTGAAGACCAAAATGAGTACTAAGTCGAGCACCAAGTTAAGAAATGGTGTATAGTCAAGGGACTAGGTGGGGTATTAACTCCTAATTTAATGCTCTGTAATTAATTTCAACTCCATGTAATAATGGTTTATTTCTTTATGTAGAAAGGAAAGTGGGAAGGGTTTAAGGGAGAAAGCACTCAGGAACGGGAAATGATGTTCAAAGTGGAGAGGGTTACAAATACATTTACAGATAAAGAGTTTGAGATATTTCTTTGTGATGAAAACATTGAAGAAGGAAGAACTGATTTCAGGATGAAGGGCTGCCCTTTCAAAAGATCTTGCACTATATACAAAGGAAACTCAATATTGGCTCAGGTAACTTTGCTGTGTTAGTGTGTTACATCCTCTGTATTCTCAAGATTATACCAACTTTTTTGGGAGGTTTCTTTTGATTGGTACATGATAACATGAATTGCAGACTAGCTCTTATTCTGCTAATTATCCGAAGAGTTTGTGTTCAGTTTAGTCCTTTGACTTTACACTGTTTCTCAGTTCAGTTATCGTGTTTTTTGGGACTCAATTTGGCTCCCTGATCATGAAATATAAACTCAAATTAATCTCCATCCTCATTTTACTCTAATTAAAGAAGAGTAGTTTTGTCACTTTGTGTGGCAATGACTAAATTGGGTCCAAATTGCGTAGTTGTGGACCAAGTTGAGTCCTGAATTGAGTCTAATTTGAGTGACGGGACGAAATGCTCTTCTTATTTAGAACCAAATATGCAGGAGTACCAAAGGGTTCAAATCTCATAGTACAGGTTTAAATTGAGTATAAAAAAGATGGGAACCAAGTTGAGTATTGGTATATAGTTGAGGGGCTATATCTGGCAGTAACTCTTATTGGAGTTAGTTTTTATTGTTGTTCATTCTAGAGTAATGATTTTTTAAGCATTTACGGAATTTTACTTTTCATTGCAGACCAGCCTCATGTATACTATTGGGACGGGCAAGTATTGTGTTCCTAGAAGCAGATTCCGGATCACTCTATTTCCAGGCCCTTGTGATCTTGTTATGATTGTTTCTTTGGTTGTAATATTTTTTTATAAAAGAAGGTTTTTGGTATAGCACAAAATGTCAAAATAACCAAAATTTATCCCCTTCTATTACCATCTTTAAGTACTCGTAATTGATCATACAAGGCAATGGACATCACGACCTATGTGAGGCGTGTTTATAACAAACAATGTTTTCATGAATGGATGAATCTTGGAGTCACCATTGATGCTGGGAAGGAGCTTGCAGCATTGGAGTAATGGTAATGGCCTTGAGGGAAACCAAGGCTCGATCCGTTTGGTCAAGGGAAAATGTTTTATAACTGTTACTGTAAAGTAATTTGTTTATGTAGTTTGGAGGAAATGGCGCTGGAAATATTTTCTTACAGGGAAAACTATCAAATAGGCTCTTCTACTATATCAAAAACGTCAATTAAGTTCTCGCACTATAAAATCACCCAATTGAATCCTTGAAGTATAAAAAAACTCTCAATTTGGCTTTCTAGCCAGTTAAAAAAAGGTTAGCCTGTTACCGCTGAGGTGGCATTAATTTTTCCAGGTTGACCCATCCCTATCAACCTTAGCTTCCCTGACTGGCTGACTCGTTCTTACCGGCGATTCATAACCTTGTTCTTCCTCCCATCCAAAACAAAGCTCATTCATACTACGTATATTTTATTTTCAAGTAAAATAAATCCTATGAAAATCTTTAAATTGTTTTTGAAGCAGCGATTATTTTCAGTCTTGTCAACTGTTATATTTGCAGCCATGGCGGTGCTCCTCTTTGTCGCAGCCTCACCATTCATAGATGTGTGACTAGAACGGTGTTCCTCTTGGTGACTTGGTCCTGAGAAAAGAGAAACACAAAAGTAAGAATAAATAAAAGAAACGAGAAAGAGTCTAGAAGAGACGTAAGAGAGCAAAAAACAGGAGAAGGAATTCACATTTCTTCTAGGATTCCATCCCTGAACGAAATGGCCATAGATAAATCACGAAGAACAGACAAAGTGAGCAGGGTCCAGATTTCTTTTAACTAAAAAAGAGAAAATATTAAAAAAGCCACATGGAAAAAAATAACACCACATCAACCCTCCAAGTCAATGGGTAAGAGGCTACCTGATTGCAACCGGCTAGAAAGCTAAATTGGGTATTTTTTTATAGTTTGAGGATTCAATTGGATAGTTCTATAGTATGAGAACTTAATTGATGTTTCTGAATTCTGATATAGTACAAAGGGCCTATTTTACAGTTTTCTATTTCTTAAAAGTTCAATATTTCCTTGAATTTTCGTTTTTTTTGGAAAATGTTTTGCCCTTGGAAAACAGAATAGTTTTCCGGTACAATATTATGTTTTCCATTAAAGTGTTCAAGAAACTTGAGACAAGAAACGTTTTGAAATACTAGGTATAAGAAGATGCCAAATACGTAATATGGAGTATTTGGTAAAGATGTGATTATAAAATACTCCTTCGCGGGAATTAATTTTATGCTTCTTTACAATGCTTATTTGATAATAGAGTCAATCTCCTACATTTTAATATAATATTTAAATTGACATTAGTGACCATATTTTAATTAGTTAAAAATTGCATAAAAAGTTCTAACACAAGAATTTAATTTGAATATGGTACAAATTTAATACAGTACATTAGTATGGAATAAAATATTAAAAGAGAATTCAATCAATCATACGTGAACCCAAAATTTACTTTGTGACCGACGGGGTTATAATGTTATATGAATATATTTATGAATAATGTTTTCTACATCTATACCCATGAGTTCATTTCTTATATCGAAACTGATTTTTTTTGTATATATATATGTTACCACATACGTGAATTTTTTAATACATTCTCCTAACCTATACCCATATGTTTTTTTATATCTTATATATGTACACACGCACGTTTTTTGTATAGGTCATCAAGTTTTGTTGCAACATATTGTGTACAAACTGAATTGTCATAAATTAAAAAAAAGATGAGGGAGGGACCTTATAATATTGGTTCGAGGGCTGATAGATGCTTGTGGTATTTATATCGTTTTAACCTTTTTTCTAAATGCTTATGCTATGATATCAATGTAAGCCTCCTTCTTCCAAAAAAAAAATTGATCAGTGAGCCGGGTCCATTCCGGTCTCAATTAGTTCAAGGAAATTAGTAGAGAACAATTCCAAGCTTCAATCGACCTTAAATTTCGTTTGAAAAGATCTCATTCCCGTTCAGAACTGCGTGCTACTGTAATGTGTTTCGATATACAGTACCAAGATCGTATGATTCAATGTTGCTTTGGTATTTCTCTTGCTTTGGTATTTCTCTAAATATACTTTAATATTATATGGGAAAAGTTAAATTTAGTAGGGGCCTTGTTTAGGCAATTAATAGATTTCGACTCGATCGTGATATTTGGGGTGTTTGACAATTGGTTGTTGACCTTTGACTGTTGGCTGAATCTGTTGGCCAATTGGTAACAACGAATTTTGTTTTCTGTTTTGATTAGACGATAATGTTAGTTGTTTATAAAACAGTATTTGGTTAAACGTCTGTTTGCAATCGCCTCATAACTTGTTAAATTACTTTTAAGGACATCAATTAATTTGGTTTTTTTGAAAGGTTTAACTTGTTTTCTTTATTAACTACTTTTATATATGTGTTACACATTTTGCTAATATTATTAATTCCGATACTTAATCCCTTTTTATTTAATAAAAATAAAATTTCATTAACATGGGTAACAATTGGTTTCAAACATTGTTTTTAAAAACAAATAACATTCGTTTAATAAGTAAGATTATATTTAGACTAATAAATGGAATGATAAGTAAAAAATATACTACGAAAGTCCCCGTTTATTGTCAATAAAAAATCAAGCGATTCAAACCCTTATTTTTTCTATATGTTTAAACAACGTGAACAAATACATTTTTGTTCACCTGGTAATTAATTCTTTTTCGTCCTATTGATTTGAAAATGACAAAATAGTTTCCTCCTTCATCTATCTAGATGGAATACAAGTAGGTGTGACATGCGCTATGAGTACCCCAGCCTTAAACAACAACATCATAATATAGTTGGGTTTGCTTTTTTAAAAGGCCGCTTGGTTTTGTTTGTTTTAGAATTACTGATTTGTAGAGTTAAATTCAAAAAACATTAATGTGAAGATAGAAGAATACCTTGGTTGAGAAAGTTGGATAAGTTGGTGTAGGAAGCACCTGATGTTGAAGAAGAAGGCTTGCTCCATGCTGTATTTTTTGTTTTTGTAAGGAATGCAAGAAGATGTAACGAGCATGAACAGAAGGAGCCCAAAATAGAAATTTGTGATAGATATTTAAACGGCCAAGTCCTCAACGCTAGGTTTATCAGCTTTTCTAATTTTGACTATTTGAGATAGGGTACTTGTACTAATTTAATTTAAGTACTAGCCTCAAACTCTATAGTGTGCCAAATGAGACAGGGTGTGATTTGAGTCCTAAATGAATATTTTAATTTTAGTGATAGAGACTAAGGTTTTTCCTAGAATTTAATTTTAGGAAAGATCGCATCGCTACTAAGAACTAATTTAATTATTCGGGACCAGAGACAGGGTACTTGCCCTAGGCCCCCTAGGTCATCCACTATATGTGTTTATCAACTTTGGTTCAAGTGAGTGTAGTTGATGTGAGAAATGAGAATGAATATCAACCATTGATTTTAGCGATGTTGAACTAAAATAGCTTTATGTTGCACTAACATTGTTTATTTGACGATGTTTCTCTCGCCCAACTACTCATCATATTAAACTAACTCATTTTACACTAATATTTGACGAGATTTTTACAAGTATTTATGAAAATGCCAGTGCATATGATTGAATCTTGTAGTGGAGCATGAAATTCTTTTATTGCAACATAATCAAATCCAACGACTGACATTTAGTCAGATTTCTCACATAAAGTCTTCTTTGCACTCGAAACACACCGAGTATGTGAGTGTGGATATTCAAATTCAAAGGTACAGTTCGTTCAACAAGATAGGGGGAAGATCGAACATCAAAGCATAGACCGTTGGAAAATATTCCATTTAAGTACCCTTGGACCATTTATATAATTTAATATTTATTGGGGATATTTATGTCTTACCATTAAGTTTGCCTTATAACATATTTGATCCCTATATTTATGTATAGTTAACATATGATGGGTATGTTTTAACATCAAATAATACATAATGGATCAAATGAGTTTCTCTTTGATACAAACATACACACCCGTTCGGTTCTTATTCTTACAACAAAAGAAGAGACACACCTCTTCCTTAGGGTCTCAAGAACACCATTATAAAGAGACTCAAATGAGAATCGGTCAATCCATCCAAAAGGGGTTTGTATCCTTAGAGAATCTATACATCAATGGCTTCATCGTCTTCTACAACACCAAAGTTCGATTTCTCCTCAACCGGTTATTGTTCTTACATATATTTGATTCTTTGAATTTTATCATGTTTGTGAGGTTAGATCCTCATTTGGGACTGAATTTCTCAACATAGACCACACGTGTGATCATCAGTTTTGGTATGGTTTTAATTTATCGTGTTTTATTGGGTTCGCTTTGAAACATATTGAGAGTATGATTAACAACAAAACGGTACAATGTTTCAATATATATAGTTCGGTTTGGTTCATTTTATTTAAATTTGTTCTTTTTTAATAATACATTAAGATTTTATTGAATCGTTTTAGTTCAATTTGGTTTTTCTTGGTCACGATTGTTTCAATTTAATGTGTTTTGGAAGAAATGTTGTCAAACTCATATTATATTGTTTATGATTTGATTTAATTCAGTTTGGTATGGTGAACAAATATGCCTACACGCAGGGGCGGAGGTACCGTCTTGGTTAAGGGGGCCATTGCCCCCCCCCCCCCCCCCCCCCCCCGCCCAATTTTTTAAAATAAAAAAAGTACTATTTCAATTTTTTGCCTCCCAACTCAATTAACTAGGAAGCCCAGCTGGAAGTAAAACTAAGGAACCGTAACTAAGGGGCTTAAAATATTATTAGGCCCAAGTGTGAAGTGCCCAACCGACCAATTAGAAACTAGGCCAGAGAAGTTTTGTGCGTAGACCTAACATTTGAACGGGACAGCCGGACTGGGGAAGTTGAGAGCAGGGGCGGAGCTACTGTCTACGACTCGAGACTCGAGAGACCGCCGCAGAGTAGCAGACCTGTGAGACCGCCGTCCGCCGCAATCCATCTCTTTCAACTTGGACTCTTGGAGAAACCTGGGCAGCTGCCGTCTGGGCGCCGAAGAGGCGGAGACTCTCTGGAACCGCCGTGCTCAACTGCTGAATTGCTCATCTCACTCTCTGGAGCTTTGGAACTTGGAAGATAGCAAACTCCGGTTCCAATCTGCGAATTTCAGGTATTTTACTATATTTTGGATTTTGGAATAATAGTATATACGTATATGATTTAATAAAATACTGTAATTTATTAAAATACATTGTTTAGTTATATACCAGTAACTAACTAAACTCAAGTGTCAAGTGTCATGCGTTTGTAGAATTTAGACTTTGTACTCAACCTGTTTAGTGTTGAATTATTATTATTTATTATTATAACTAATTAGTTATAATTGAATTATTAATTTATTATTATACAACTAATTATTTATATAAACTTTTTAGTGTTTGTAGTCAACCTGTTTAGTGTAGTCAAGATGTTGAACTAATTTGTGTCACTTGTGTGTAGTTAACTAGTGAACCTTTTAGTTTGTACTTGCTGTCATTTCTCTTAGAATGTGATTATAAATTATTTATGTGATTTTTCTGAATAGATGAAAAACCGCAAACTATTCATGTGTACTTTAAAAGTGCGAATGCCGAAAGTTCTACATCTTAGTCGATTGTATCTCCAAACATTGATCTTTCAAATCCCGAGAGTCGTCCTACAAAGTGTCAAAGAATTGAAATCAATGAGAGATTTGATATTCAAACCTTAGAACGTGATCCAGGATTGAGGCATCCAATATGGAAATATCCAGTAGAAAAGCGTGATGAAGTGCGTAGAGCTTACATCAAGGCTGGTCCATATCAATGTATCCTTTCAAAGTACCCAAAAACTGGAGAAAAATATCGTCGGAGTTTTCAACCTTCATGGTTTAAATTATTTCCATCTTGGTTAGAATACTCTCCGAGTGTAGATGCTGCTTTTTGTTTACCGTGCTTTTTATTTCATACTCAACATGGACCTTCATGATCTGATGCTTTCACAATTGTTGGTTTTCGATCTTGGAAGAAAGTTAGAGATGGAATAAATTGTTCATTCTTGGCGCATAGCGGAAAAGATCTCACTTCTCCTCATCGAAATGCTGAAAAATCTTGTGCAGACCTCATGAATCAAGAATGTCACATTGCACAAAGCATTGAAAAATTCACTTCTCAAGAAGTTGCTGAAAATAGGCTTCGCTTGAAGACATTAATTGAAGCAATTAGATGGCTTGCATTTCACGGATGTTCTTTACGAGGTCATGATGAGTCAACAACCTCAAGTAATCGAGGAAACTTTTTAGAATTATTAAGTTACACAACCTCTTACAATGAGGAAGTAGCAAAAGTTCTGGATAAAGCTCCTCGAAACGCAACACACATCTCCAGCAATCCAAAAATAAATCTTGCAAGTTATGGAAATTCGAGTGAAGAATGCTATAAGAGAAGAAATTGGTGATGCAAAGTTTTGCATCATTGTTGATGAGGCTCGAGATGAATCCAAAAAAGAACAAATGTCAATTGTTCTAAGATTTGTTGATAGAGATGGATTTGTTCAAGAGCGCTTCTTAGGAGTTGTGCATGTTAAAGACACAGTTGCATCAACATTGAAAGAATCTATCTTTTATGTCTTGTCTCGACTTGCTCTTGATGTTAAAAATATTTGTGGACAAGGTTACGATGGTGCAAGCAACATGAGAGGTGAATGGAATGGATTGAAGGCTTTAATTTTAGACGAATGTCCTTATGCTTATTATGTTCATTGCTTTGCACATCGTTTGCAATTAGCACTAGTTGCTGCATCAAAGGAGGTCATTCCCATTCATCACTTTTTCACCAAGTTGAATTGAATTATCAATATTGTTGGAGCTTCATGCAAACGTATTGACCAATTGAAAGCTGCTCATGCCTCAAATATTGCTCATTTACTTAGCATTAATGAGCTTGAGAGCGGGAAGGAGCTAAATCAAATTGGTTCTTTACAATGAGCCGGAGACACCCGTTGGAGTTCTCATCTGAAATCTATGACTAGCTTGATGAAGATGTTTAATGCATCATGTGAAGTGTTGTTGAATATTATTGAAGATGGAACTACACATGCTCAACGTGGAGATGTCGATGCAGCTTATGAGGTGCTCACTTCTTATGAATTTGTCTTTATTATGCACCTTATGAGAAAAGTGTTAGAGATTTCTAATATGCTTTGCCAAGCTTTGCAACTTCAGTCTCAAGATATTTTGAATGCAATTTAGCTTGTTTCATCAACTAAATTGCTTATTCAAAAGTTAAGAGATGATGGGTGGGAAGAGCTAATTGCAAATGTGAAAATATTTTCTGAATCTGTCAACATACATGTGCTAGACTTTGATGTTGCTTACGTCTATAGAAGAGGAAGAGCTCGTCATTAGCAAGATAAATTAACTGTCAGAGAGCATTACAAGTTTCACATTTTTCATGAGGTGATTGATACTCAGCTTTCAGAGTTGAACACTGAGTTTAATGAAAATACAATCGAGCTTCTTACTTTAAGCACATCACTTGATCCAAGGGAGATGCACACATCTTTCAGATTTGATGTGGTTAAAGTCAAAGTCCTGTGGGTAAAACTTTTCTACCAACTTGCAAATGTCATCAATTCTGAGAGATGCGCAATTAAAAGAATATTGCCTAGAATGATGATAGCTGTTTGAAAATGTGCTGAGATGATTATAAATGAAAGTTTAGCTAGAGTAGTGGTCTCAGCAGTTGGGTGGTCACAAGGGAACTGTTGAGGCACCTGCTGAGTTACAGGCTGATTTTCAGAGATCAGTTTAGACAAACTTCTTGGTAATGATGTTATGAAGATGTTGTGATGTTGAGATGTTCAAAGGAAATAAATGTGTACGAGCAGTGGGCTCAGCAGTTGGGTGGTCACTAGGGAACTGTTGAGGCAACTGCTATACTTGAAGGATGAATTCCTGAGATATGATAGAACAGACCTTTTAGTAGTGCTATTATAAGGCTCTTGTCTGAAAACTTTCTCAAAGAGAGTAAGTGATTGAACGGTAGTATAAGCAGTAGGGTCAGTTA